AGGAGGCTCAGGGGAGACCTTCTGGCTCTGCACAGCTCCTGACAGGAGCGTGGAGCGAGGGGGGGGTCGGGCTCTGCTCCCAAGGAACAAGGGACAGGACAAGAGGAAACAGCCTCAAGTTGCCCCAGGGGAGGTTGGGGTTGTCCCTGAGGAACAATTTCTTGCCCTGGAGGGTTGCCCAGGGCTGTGCCAGGCTGCCCAGGGCAGTGGTGGAGTCCCCACCCCTGGAGGGGTTTCCAAGCCGTGGAGATGTGGGGTGAGGGACACGGGGCAGTGGGGACCTGGCAGTGCTGGGGGAAGGGTTGGACTCAATGATCTGAGAGGTCTCTTCCAACCAAAACAATTCTATGATTTCGTATTAATTAATGCTCAAATAGTTGTGCTTGAAGGAGGGATTGTGTCCAGAGGTTGAAACCTCTGGATTTTAAAGCTCCTTTATTACAGCTCTTAAACTCCAGAGTAAAGAGCCATGCTGAATTTTCAGACCATTCAGTGGAGCAGGGACTGATTAAAGCCACCAAGTGAGAACCCCAAACCCTTTTCTTCAGCAGCAAGGAGGAACTTTGCCCTGGGTCCCTGTGGCCACCCCATGGCCAGGCTTGGAGCTGGAGCTGGGCCATTTTTGGGGGGTTTAGAGGCCCCTGCAAGGGACTTTGCTTCAGGATGGTAAGATCAAGCTGTGCAAAACTGCCCCAGAACAGGTCCAACCTCCCTGTTGTCCATGTGCACCTTTCCTGGGGTGTCCTCTGGATTTCTTTCAGCACCTCCCCACTGCTTTTAGTTGACATGTGTGGAAAGCCCTTCCCTCTCAGGGGCCTTTGGGGTGGATTAGCCTGGCCTCCCTCACAGCCTGACAGCCTCAAGCTGGAGGGGAGCAGGATCTGCTTGGGGTGTCAGAAACACCCAGAGGCTTTTGCACCAGATAATGAATGAATGAATTCAGCCCCTCCCTGGATCCAGAGCTCCACAAGGAGAAGATCCAGGCTCAGACACCTCCAGCGAGCTTGCACAGCTCTCAGTGACATCCCCAGCTCCCTGGTCTTTAAATTTTGGGGAGCAGCAGCTATTTATTTTTTTCCCCTACAACAATTGGTTTCAAAAGAATTGGGACGCTGGACCCCAGCCAACCTCCTTCTGTCTCTCCAAGCTGGAGATAAGCAGGAGCAGGCTGATCTTTTCTCTAACCTAGTTGGAGCTGTGCTCACTGGATGGAGAAGTCTTGAGTTCTTTCCTAACGTGGACCACATCTTAATAGCTGGTCTTGTGGGCTCCATCCCTCCCACGGCTCCTGACGCAGAGCTTCTCCCCTCCTGCTCGCCTTGGCCAGCTTCCCTGGATGACTCCACTAATTGCTTACGTAGAAAAATAATGAGAAGGATGCGTATGATTTATTTTTAGATGTCTCTTGGTGGGATTTAGCAACTGGAGAGCCAGAGCCAGCACCTCCCCATCCGACTCTTACATCCCAGTGGTGGCTGCTTGGTGGAGCTCGGGAGGTTCTGCCCCGGGAGGTGGCATTTCTTCTGCAAGCTGCTCTCCTTTTTTTTTGGGTGTCTCCTGGTCGTTAATAAATGGGTTATGGATGTTGTGTCCTTGGTGCTGGACTGGATTGGTGCTGTGAAGCCCTGAGCCAGTGCATGGTGCCTAGAGGATGGGCACCACCACCTCCTTGCTCATCTCCAAGAGCGTGGCCATGGTGGTGGCATGGCAGTGTGGACCATGGTGTCTTGGAGACCATCCCAACCCAAAGTATTGTATGATTTGGGTGCTGAAAGGGACCTTTAAAGCTCATCTAGTGCAACCCCCCTGCCCTGAGCAGGGACATCCCCAGCTAGAGCAGGGTGCTCAGAGCCCCGGCCAACCTCCCCTGGGATGGTTCCAGGGATGGGGCAGCGACCACCTCTCTGGGCAGCCTGGGCCAGGGGCTCACCACCCTCAGCAGCAAAAATTTCTTCCAAAATAACCAACAACATCTTTTCTGACTGGTAAATACCCACGAGATGAGGAGTCTCACCACCAAAGCTGCTTTTGAGCAGATTTTAGGTGTTCCCCTCCGAAACCTCAACGGAACAGGGGAAAGGGAGCGGGCAATATTACCCCAAAGACTGTGAGAATTCAGCATTGCAGCAAGTAGTTCCCTTATTTTTCTATCTGTCCCTTCCATCCCAGGGCTCTTTGTGTCTCGGTGGCTTCCTGTGCAGGAGGAGGGGGCTGGGCTCCAGCTCTTCCCTTTCCCCCAGGCACCAGGAGCTTGGTTCTTCTTGCAGCACGACCCATCTGCCCTCGGAGCTGAAAACATCCTTTCTTTGCCCTTTTTGAATCCCCTGAATGAATGGTGTCTCCTGCTGCTTAACAGCAGCTTCACCACCACTGTGGGAAAGTTTTGCAATCAGAGAGACTTTAATAGATCTGGTTTTTGTCTTAAAAACCTCATCACTTGCTAATTCTCCTGCACATTTCCTTGATGACGTGCTGCAGCAGCCCGGCTACTGAAATAGCTTTATGGCCTGAAGGAAATCATCAGGAAATATGTTTTTTTAAACCATAGGTAATTCTTTTCTCACCAGGCACTATTGAAAAAAGTCTGTGTTGGATGAACTTGGCTTTTTGGGCACCTTGCTGCTCATGGGGTGATGTTGGGACCATGGTGCTTCAGCAGTTTGCCTTCAAAAAACACCATTTCTTAGAGTCTTGCTGTGAATTTTCTCTTTATCCACCCAAATAGTTTGGATTCTTTTTGTGTTGGCTTTGCTTTAGTTTTTGGGGAAGATGCTTGCTGTGCATTCAGGTCTTTCCCCGCAGGGTTGCCTAAGACTTGGAGCCTGCAGTCTCTTTTTGGGGTGTTCTTCATGGGCAAGAGAAGGTGACGTTTGCCTGGGGTTGAGGTGCTGCTTTCCAAACAATAGACAAGTAGATAATTCCTTGTGGAAAATAACCTTGAACTGTATAAAGTAACTCAAAAGGCAAACACTAGCCTGGGGCATGTGTCCTGAACCTGTACCTGAGGGCTGCCCACCTCTGCATGAACCAGAAGGGATGAGTGGAGCCTGGTGGCCATCAAGTTCTTGTTGTTTAATCTCCCCTGGCTTCATCACTCACTGCCTTCAATGTCTGCTGATGCAGGTGCTTCAGTGCTAATGCTGTGTCAAACCAGATGCTTGGTAGAACATCACCACAGAAGATCCCAGTGGTTTGTGCTGGAGCGTGGCCAGAGAAGGGCAACGAAGCTGCTGGGGAAGGGTCTAGAGCCCAAGTGTGGGGAGGAGCAGCTGAGGGAGCTGGGGGTGCTGAGCCTGGAGCAAAGGAGGCTCAGGGGAGACCTTCTGGCTCTGCACAGCTCCTGACAGGAGCCTGGAGCCAGGGGGGGGTCGGGCTCTGCTCCCAAGGAACAAGGGACAGGACAAGAGGAAACGGCCTCAAGTTGCCCCAGGGGAGGTTGGGGTTGTCCCTGAGGAACAATTTCTTGCCCTGGAGGGTTGCCCAGGGCTGTGCCAGGCTGCCCAGGGCAGTGGTGGAGTCCCCACCCCTGGAGGGGTTTCCAAGCCGTGGAGATGTGGTGTGAGGGACACAGGGCAGTGGGGACCTGGCAGTGCTGGGAGATAGTTGGAATTAATGGTCTTAAAGGTCTTTTCCAGCCAAAACAATTCTGTGATTCTATGTTTGGGTCCAGCATCTCAAGATAAGCTTTGCCTGGTGCCAGCAGGCAGTTGGCTGGCACGTGTGCTCCCTGCTGGTGCTTTTCTGGGTAAAACTCCTGCTGGGAGATCCTCCTGGGACAGCGCTGACCTTGGGCAGCTGAGGATGGAGGCTGAGCAGCTCCATGAGCATCCCCAGACGGAGCTGTGGGGCTGTCCCCTGCCCCGGGCCGGTGTCACAGGCCGAGGTTTCCTGTGCCCCGTGGTTGGGCTGAGCTTGGGTGGCCCCTGGGAAGGGATTTTCCGCTCTGCACGCTTGAGATGTGCTGGGAGCTTCCTGCCTTGGCCCCACAGCAGAGCCAGTCCCCGAGTTCCTTTAACCCTTTCCTCTTGCCCCCCCCTCCCGTGGTCCTGACGGGGGGTGTGTGCTGTGTCTCCCCTGTGTCTCCCCAGGTCTGGGGCTTATGCACGGCGACCATGACCACCGAT